GTCAAAGAATAACTTGATAAGCTTGAAAGACATATACTCACAAGAAAGTGTTTGAGAGATGAGGGCTTTCAATGGGTTCACTGGGTTGACGACAAAATGTCTCAAGGATGAAGGGTCAAACTAGAAAGCGTTCGAGGGAAGAGAAAGAGGTATAAATAAACAATATTGGTATTATCACGGGTATGTCGGAGCCGGCAAATCACAAAGCCATGTGATAATCATTCCTGGGATACTCCAGATAGTCTCTTCAGAGCAACCTCATTCGACACAACTTCGTGCAATGGCCTATCGCTTAGCTGCGTGTTTCTACCAAAAAGCTACCAGTATTTCAAATACAAACAATAAATATGCCAAGATAGTCACTCCAAGTCGGTACCAGTATAATGACAAACCTTATTCATGTGACACTCCCAGGAAACATATTTACATTGGGTTATTGGCTATCGTAAAAACTACCACGGATAATAACAAATAATGATAGGCCACACAAAGCAGCGGCACGGCCCGGTCCACTCTCTTGCAGCAAACTCGCTCAGAAGACCAATTGATTCACCGCGGAGTTTGTAGCGGACACATCGGAGTGATTATGAACCTTTCAAAACGATTCGATTGACATGAGGAAGCGCTGGTGATACTAAATGGGCAGCTAGCATGTAGCCGTGTGTAGCCTGTAGCGGGTAGCATGGTTCAGAATGTTTTGTACGTTACATTGGGTAGCATCGATGACTCCTCGGACGCCTTGCACGTAAGTCCCAGGAAAAAGCCATGGCTACGATGATATCTACTGTGAGTCAGAAGGTTTAGAGAGCGCGATCGTTTACTGCTACTCGTGACAAAGCTTTTTTTGTTATATCAATTATACTCTGAACAGGAATTGCCGTTCTTTCCAAACATGTGCCACTGTAGAATAAAACATACTTATACTTGATCTACGTCGCGGTTATGGTTGCTTTCCTTCACTCCGACATGCCTACAGCTGGCAGTACTCCGGGGCATTTCCAAGCCCACCATCTCTTGTTTCAACCTGACCTCCCCAGAATGCCAACCCAGCCGTATGCTGAATCCCTTACCATTCGCAAAAAAAGTCTCTGAAGTGACTTCGAGCTCAAGTGAGTTGGGCTCACCCGCAGTTGCCTAAAATCGCTCTCGGCATGCTCTGAAGTGCATACGCTGCAGGGCACTGATACAAAAGAGAGTTCGGCGATAAGTGGCAAATATTTTGAATATCTATACTGGGATTGGTGGTGATTGCTGGACGAATGCAGCCTGCTCGATTAAGCTGTCTTGGGCTTTGAGAGGTGAGGGGGTCACTGACTGTGGCGGCTGGGTCGAATGCAGCTGTGCTGTAGTACCCGGGTAGACTCGCTTCGGTTATCCAAACTGTGGCCAGCGTAACGATAAATGTATAATATGTAGACTTACTGCTCACATTTCATGTCTTTACACTCCCTGTTAATAAAAATGAGTATATACTAGAATATGTGTCATTTGCAAAGTCATCAACTGTTACCAAATCAACTGGTGATCAAATGCTTCTTAGTTAGTTGATGTGAAACGAAGAGTGTTCCGAGTTCCCTATAAGCTAAGGTCATATGTAATTGTTTGTGTAGTCATGCTCATTGTTGAATGTGAAATCATAACCAGGCTGCCGACATGCTGCGGTCGTCAACATGTGAGAATGCTCTCTACCCCACCTATCCCACGATGCAGTCCGGACAAGCATCCTACAAGACATCGCAGAAGCTGTGTGAGCAATACTGACAATTTATTTTCTTCCTGTCCCTTTTATACTCTTTATTCAAGATTTTGTATGTGTCTTACTCTTCGTCGAACTCGGGGGGGCTTGAGCATGTCGTTGAATTGTGCCAGAAGATCGTCAAATAGATCAGTTTTCTGATTGTATATTTTTGTATCAGAGCTTTCATCAGCGGGCGGAATCTCCACCGAATCGCTACTTTTGACCCGTAAAGGAGCCACCGCAGGCATAGGAGCAACCAAGACTTGGTCTCGAGTAGATAAATCAGCTGATTGTGCAAGGGAGTACTTGCGCTCGTCCTGAACATAGTACTTTGCGTCGTTACTTTCTATTGTGATGTCGAGAACGGCTTCTAGATGGTCAAGCGTATTTGTACTGACGGCATATCGGATGCTGATGCGAACCACCTCATCCAAGGAGGTTTTTGCATAGGTAGGATATTGACGCTCCCGATTCCAATTTACGCGCCCTGTGAGTCTTCTGAGGGCGTTCTGCCAGGGCTGCCTGCCATGTTCACGCTCATTCCACCTCCATATTCCAATCCTTGGCCGTGGTGCGGCAGCTTTGACAATGATGGCGAACTCGCAATCTTTGTGTAGCGGGCTTCCTTCCTCTCTGGGTATGGTGAAAGGTACTATGAAGGCTGCTGCTTGTTCTAACCTGACTTTGTTGTCTTCAATTAGAAACTTGGAGGATGCTGTAGTGCTATACTCTACCCTGCCTCTCCTCTGCGTCAGGCTGTCGCGGGGATAAGAGGGCAGGAAATACACGAGCCGGTGTTTGTCAAGCTGAACCTCTCTTGGGAATTTGAAGGTCACCTCTGTGGTTCGATGAGACCTTGGGCTCTCAACCTCGATGCCTGCGTTGTTCCTGATGATGATGTCCTGTACTCCGAGACTCGACAGCGACCTTGTTCGGTCCGCATGAAATTCGATTCCAGTACATTCGAAAACATCAGTCTCCTCACCGTAGGGCTTTAAAGTCATTATCGCGGGACTGATCTTGCTTGACTGGACCCACGGGATGGCTGCACAGTTCAACATGATGGCGAGTGTCCTACTATTCTCCTCATGTATTTGCCAGACATTAGCTCTGAGGCTTAGCCCAATATTGTTCATAGTAAATCCTTTGCGAAATGGATCACCAGCAAAGGTGCAAAGTGACTCAAGCGACTGAAAAAACTCAGGTGACGGCGCCAGTATGCCATAGGCGGCACCAATGTCAACTTGGAGGAGTTAGCACGGACGTCATATACAAGCCACGAGACATACCGTGTCGCCGCGTCCACGCAAATATTGACTCGTCAGAAGAAGTGCGAATCAACTCAAGCTGTAGCCGAATGAAAGCTTGTTTTCCCTCACCGTATATCAAGGGCATGTGTACCCCGAGCAGACCCAATAGGCTGTATGCTCTGTCTTCTTCTCGCGTGGTCTGGCGGTTTGCCGCCCATGAAAGCTTAGTGGCCAGGCAGGTCGAAGAAAAATCTCTCTGATGCTCTGGCGCGATTCCAGTAGCCACATAAACCTCACTCTCCCATACTTCGCGAGACCCAATTGTACCCCATTGCATATCTAGAAAGAGTAGATGTGACGGGGCTAGCATCTCCTGCAACGTCCAACCACGAGTGAACCATCTGCTGCCCCGGAAGTGCTGCACCCACGGAGATCTGAGGTCGTCCACTTCACCGCTAATGGCGTACTTTGGGGGTACGTCGGCCAGGTAGGCGATGCATATCTGAGCCTCGGCGTACCAGCGAAACATGGAGTTGATGGCCTCTCCCAGCTCCGTATTATCATTCTTGTCAATGCAGCAGGTGTCGATCCAGACATATTCCCAGCCGTCTGCCGCAGCGCGCTGACAGCACTTGGCGACTTTGTCCCACCCCGGATGGTGTTCGCGGCCAATTTTCCTGACCACATCATTGTACTCAATCTCGGCATCGCCCCAGGTGTGAGATAGTATGGCATATGGGGGCACATCCCCACGAAAAGTCTTTAGCTCGTAGGATGTGGTGTGTAGCAGGCGCATCTCGTCCGCGATGTCAGAGAGCCTGCAATTGTAAGAATGGCATCAGGAGATATCGACAAATAGAACGAGGAACTGAGGCGGATTTTCTGCTCAGCGCATCAGGCTGTGTTCCACGCAGAATCCCTGGTCCCACGCATCTGGGCGCTTATGTGCGAACGTGGAGATTGATTGGCACTGCCACCGCCAACTAAAGGACCCGTCGCCTCAATCACTTAATTTACATACAAAGATTCGCGAAGCAATTACAATTACTGAATGTTTTATAGCCATGACCATCAAAATTCTCAAGTGGAAGGAGTACGTTACTGAGGCACCTTCGTTCGCCGGGCTTTAAGTGTTTAAGCCAAGTTACCATTTATCAGCGCTTTGTGCGCTAAGGATTAGGCTTTCTCAGCCACTAACTGACCCAAATGATAGTTGGAATGGCAGGCGCTCGTACGCTCGTATACGCCCCGTACTGTACTCTGTAAGCTCCTAAATGTGACTCTCAGCTGCAGCGGACCGCCCGCAAACTCAGCGGTCCACCTTTAATTTTAATTGGCACCTATACTCCGTACACGGCACGGGCTAATGCCCCAGCAATCTGAATAGCTGCCACTATTCAATGTTTTATATATACCTAGGAATGCATTCACGATCCTCCCACCGTTTCGGCAGCACTGCAAAGAGTAGCTACCAGAAAGGCTTCAATCACCGGTAAATGCCACTAAAAGAACTCGCGGAACCGTTTATGGATGAGAATTTATTATTCAATCTAATGACGACCGAATCAGAATTATTATTTCCATAGTCATATGCCTATCCATTACAAGTCTAGTGAAAAAGATATCCGTCAGAGACTGCTTGAGAACAACTACCACAGATAGTTTGGCAATACTGGTTGTTCATGCTGACTCCACTTATAATGTCGTCGAATGTAACAACACATTGCCAATCGTAGACGCCCTTTACTTTGATAGGCGGTTTCCAGTTCAAAAGGGGAGGGTATTGTATCGATAGAAGAATGAATTTGACCATCATGGCCCTGGAAACTGTTGTTCATAATTCAAAGTTACTTTTCAAAAGGATGAGTTGATCTCCAAAGCAGTTGCAAGCTTGGGCGTTAGGAATTTAGCTCATGCACCTGCGGCACAATCTTGAAGTGGTATCGCGCTGCAGCTTTGAACTTCATTTATATTTTTACATATCACAATAATCTTTAACGAAAAAAAGAAAACCTGACTTGGTGTAGTAGTAGCACGCCGATAGTCACTAGGAAAGCATATTGCGTGGACCTAGCCCTTCGGGGGGAGGAGGCTCAGGTTCGATTCCTGAAGTTGGGAATTCATTTATTCTTTTTGTTTCTCGCCCTTTCTTACTCGATCTCTTTACGGCAATATGGCTGGCAGCTTCCCCGGACGAATGCCTTCTGTGCGCTCTACCAGCAAGATCTGACTGATATGAATGCCTGCATCATAACCCGTCTCACTATCTTACGTTTCCGACTCGGCGTGTTCTAGACGCGCCATCTCCTGCCTGTGTGCCTCCATATACTGCTCCATCTCCTCCTCGGTCAATTCAGTGATCGCCTTACGACATTCCTCACCTCTATAATTATCTGGCCATCCATACTTCTTCAAAATAGCAGAGTACGCCTGGGTCCAAGTTGATTAGCATTCTCCCGTACATAACTCGAAATGTTACTCACCACCATCTCCTTCGCCAACCACTTCTCCTCAAACTCCTCCTGCTTCCACCATAGATCCTTCGTCCCCTCCATGAAAATCACCCCAGGCTCCCTACCTCCCGGCACGCCCAACCATTCCATGCATCGAAATTTGTCGCTCCACTTCAGCAGCAGCTCCGTCGCCGGCACCGTTGTCTCATCGCACGCCTCCCGCCACGCGCGCGGGTCATCCGCGGAATAGTGTCCTTTGGGCTCCGGGTACACATAGCCCTCGGGGCTCCACATGCTTACTGTCCCGTCGAGCGTGTCGAGCATGTAGCAGGCGGCCCCGCGACCCTTGTCCCACGTCAGCTGCACGGCCGTGGGCGGCAGCCGGAAGCCCCAACTGGACTGATGGTGGTTGTCCTCGAGCTCTGGAAGCCAGAGGGGGCGCCGCCAGGGGCGACGGTCACATTCATTACCTGGACCCGCGTCCGTCGTCGTTGTCGCCGTGTAGTCGTCGGGCGCGTGTCCCACGAGCCTATAGTCGATAACGAAAGCGTCGGGCACGATGCGAGGCTGACTTGAACATAGATAAGGCAAGTGTCTGAGCAGCTCGACGGCCTGTTCAGTCTTGTGAATGTTCCATTTGCCGAGGGTTTCCTTGGTAATGGAAGGCCAGCCACCGGGCGGCGGGGTGTGGATGTGCTCGGGCGAGATGTGCGGAAGAGAGCGGTAGAAGGTCTCAACGGCGCCGATGATGGCAGGGGCTGAGTATGTCGCTGGTGAGTCGAGGCGGGGGTCGGGGGGAAGAGATTCTACTGAAGTCATGGTCGGCTGAATGATTACGCGTTTCAATTTTCCTTTGGGTTTCTCCTCTCATTCTTTTTTCGCCATATATAAGAGGTGAACATGAAATAATTCTTGGTGAGTTCCGCCTGGGTGAGATTGAATCTGGGGTATTGATCCTACGTGACACGAATGCCACTTCAAGCCCGTACCAACCAATCGGACGTGTTGTCTCTCAACTGGGTAGTACGGGAAAATGGCATAAGATGGCATTGCGCCAAGCGCATCTAATTGCAATTGTTTATATTCTTGGGTTTCTGAATAAGTTAAATTTGAATGTTAGATTGTGTTGGTATGATAAACCATTGATGCATATAATGTAATTCGTCTCCAGACCTATTCTACTCACTCCGACACTGCAACACAATACCACTCCTCCGCCCAAAGCGACGTCCCACAATTCGCCCCGTTAGCACCCAATACGGTATTCCAGGCATACAATTGCGCAGGCGTGATTCCATTCCGCGCAGCAAAGGTCTCGCACCCGTCCCCTGATATCGCCTGCGCATATTTTGTGCAATCGGCCGCGATGCCCGTCTGTGTCGGTCCCGGCGCTGTGACGGGGTCCAGTGTCTTGGTCCCGATGCAGTAGTACTCGCTCGCCCACAGCGCCGTCGTGCACTCCTCACCGTTGGCCCCCAGTACGGGGTTCCACGCGTACAGCTGGCTAGGCTGTATCCCGTGCGACGTGGCAAATGCATAGCACACGTCGCCCACCACGGCGCTGGCATAATTGTTGCAGTTGGCGACAAGGCCGTCCTGCGTAGGGCTTGGCACGCCGGCCCCGCCCGTGGCAGAGCCGCTCGCGCCGACGGTACTGGTCACCGTGGTCGTCGGAGTGACAACGCCGCCGGCTCCGCCGCGCTGCTGATTGCCAGCGTCGGCGTCGGTGCCGAGTGGAGGTGGCGGGAGGACAAAAGTGCCGTTGCTGCCGGGAGAGCTGATGCAGACATACTGGCCCTCGGTCAAACTGTCGCACAGTCCGAGGACGTAAGGGTTCCATTGCTGGAACTGCACCCTGGTTATGTTGCCGCCAACACTCGCAGCCAGAGAAGCGCAGCTGTCCCCGGCCTTCACCTGCTTGAGTTGGCACGGCTGGGGCAGACAGGCAGTACTTGTCATTGTGCACTGGTCGCTGTTTGTGTACCACTGCAGGGCCCCAGTGCTGACACCGTACCGGGCAGACAAGTCATCGCACGTCGAAGATCCTGCCGGAATTGCCTGCCCTGCACACGTAGTTGTGGGTGCAGCTGTGCTTGATGTCGTTGTCGTGCTGCCCAGATTGAGCGAAGTGAGCGGCGGTGCCGTGTCATACGTGGTCGGAAGCCGCATGGTGAAGTCAGGGCGCGTTTTGTTGCACACATCCTGGATATCCAGCAGTTGGTCAGCGAGGTAATCAGAGTGATCTGAGTCTGGTAGGTAATTGGATGTGACGCGCGTATAGAGCATGTCGATGAAGCAGTCGTTGCAGAGCTATTATATATCTTGGTCAGCGGACAATTACCTACCACATCATGCTTACGGCCGACTCACAATCTCATCGGGATAGAGGTTCGCCATTCGTACACTGCTCTCCGGAATGTCTGTCACATTTCCTGAGCAGGTGGGATCTGTAGGGTTTGCATCGCAGTCTGCTCGCAAAATATCCAAGCCCACCCATTCCTGGGATTCTGTCAGGCACCATTCAAAGTCATCTGACCTGATGATTATAACTCAGTCAGTCTGCGCATCTCTGCCCTATCCATGCCTGCATTGGAGAGGTAATCTCACCAGGACTCGAGACAAGCCACACCTAGGCTCTCAACATATCGTTCCGTCACCGTCCAAATTGGCACGAGCTTGCCGTATGCGGTAAAGTACTGTTCATCACAGGCTGCTGCGCTATCCATGTTCCAGTTCGTGACTGATAAGGAACAGTTGTTGCCACACAGGGCGGTCAAGTTGTCATCAGTCCACCAGTAATTTTCCAGGGATGCTGTCATCTGCAGCAAGGTCTGGTCGCAGTCCGGCAGTGTTTCATTTCTTCACATGGCAGGTCAGCCGAAAGTCCATCAACGTAGCTGGGAATCGCCTCACAGAGCTTGCACACATGCCGTGGTAATGTTCAGAGCTGCGGCCAATTTGGTCTGGTCCACGCCTGGATACAAGTTGAAAGCCAGCAACGGCGGTGCGAAAAGCGACCAGAGCAAGACCGAAAGTGAAAGTGCCATCTTGGGGACCTTGCGCGCGTGTGCTTGAGGAGTTAGAATTGGCAACCCCCTAGAGTCGTTCATATGCGTGGACATGGACGTATGAGGGGAAGACAAGATCGTTGACCATGGCGTCGATATTCATACTATCCGACAAATCCAGCTTCAAATTAGGTGCTCATCATGAGATGGTAAGCCCTCGACGATCCTGGTCAGGTGTCATTCGGTCAATTGCACGTGGTCGACCGGTTAAAGTGACAATGAAACATTGAGCTTACACTGCATCGTCAAACGGACCTTGCATATCATATTGAGTCTTTATAAGATATTATCATTCTGAGTCAATGCCGAATCTGGAAGGTTTGTGTAAAGGCACGTTCCTATTCGACAGTCCAGGTTTAATAGTTCAATAGTGTCGTGGGGGCTGAGACAATCCCTACCGTAGGTAAGCTGACAGGAACGGGGGTTAGCTTCAACCGATGCATTCACGTGGTGGTCTCGGCCGCATTCGGTTCGTACAAGGGATCAATCTTTCAATAATCAGTATCATGCTTAGAACGGTGCTGTACTGATATAGGGACCGTCCTCATCCATACCTGGCGTGCGGCAGGGACGATGTCGAGAAAACAGTGCTCGTCACTCTCGCTGTTTCTTGCTACAAATCTGCCTCACAATGTTCAGCATCATGTTCGGTAATCCATTTCTACTCTTACTTATATACTTCCTCTCAGTCGGTGCAAGTCCAATTGATGCCGCGTTCGATTTGACTTTGTCTGCCTTGTCACCGCCGGGCTTGCTCAACCTCAAAGACCGCGCCCTACCAACTGGCACATGTAATGCGCAGACTCCTTGCGAGAACGCGGCCTGCTGCGGAGGCAATAATAACAATCTCTGTGGTTACTCACCAGGTGAATGCGGAACCGGCAATTGCACATCCAACTGCGACGCGAAAGCCGAATGCGGTCAGTATGGAAAGGAAGGGAAGCAGCAGTGCCCGCTCGGCGTGTGCTGTTCTCAGTTTGGATTCTGCGGCTCGACTTCTGACTTTTGCAACAAAGGGTGTCAGTCAGACTTTGGTGGATGTGGAGACGTGAAGAGGCCGTCATGCTCAGGCAATTCCATCGGCAAGCGTACTGTTGGCTACTACGAGGCATGGAGTAACACGCGCAAGTGCCAGAGCGTATCCCCCGAGGACCTGAACCTGAACGGGTTTACACACATCAACTTTGCCTTTGCATTTTTCGATCCGACCTCCTTTGCTATCGCGCCTATGGACGGCAAGACAGGGGAACTATACAGCCGTTTTACCGCTCTCAAGGACAAGTACTCGGGACTTGAGACGTGGATCTCGGTAGGAGGATGGTCTTTTACTGATCCGGGGCCGACACGTACTGCATTTAGTGATATGACGAGCAACGTCTCAAATCGCAAAGCCTTTATCCAGGGGTTGATCTCTTTTATGGAGCACTACGGCTTTACTGGGGTCGACCTCGACTGGGAGTATCCGCAAGCAGATGACCGCGGCGGTGTGACTGCCGATACGGCAAACTATGTGTCCTTAGTTAAGGAGCTGAGGGAGGCATTCGGTATGGCTTGAATCTTCGTTTCCATCAAAAGTCAAGACAAAACAGAACCACTG